TGGCAAGTTATATCAGCAAAACAAAATAAAGTATTTCGATTCTTTTGTTGATTAGGTTACAAATTATGAAATTATTCCTTCTTATATAAAAAAAAAAAATGTTCCGCATATTTTAAGAAACCCCAGTAAGTACAAGTTAAAAAGTTAGTAACAGTGGCGGCCTCAAAGGAGGGTCGTCACAATTTTTTTGCCCGAACCCGACCCGCAAATTCCTAAAGTAGCCGTTGCATCCCGAATTTTTTGAAAAAAAAATCAATTTTTTAACCCAAAAATTTTCCTATAAATACCCCTCATCCCCAACACATTTTTCTCACTCAAACTCTCTCAATCCCTATCAATTTCTCTCAGTCTCTCTCAATTTCTCTCAATCTCTCTCAATCTCTCAAATCTCTATCACAATTTTTCTAAAAACTATCACATTATCCTAAAACTCTCTCTCTCAAATCGCTCTTATTTTTTTATAATGGATCCTTTTGGTTATAGTGGTATTCCCGTTGGTGCCCAACACAATGTGAAAGAAGGGCAATTTCACACTAATGAATTTGTTACGCATGAATCTACTGATCCGAGCCTTGCTGGACGTACTGGAGGTCGTGGTCGCAATGGTGGTGGGCATGGAGAAGCGGCGACAGCGAGTGCCAGTGCGACTGTGTCTGCAAATGTTGCAACCTCTAGGAGGAAATGCAAGCGCACTTTGACAGTTTGGGATCACTTCGACATAATTGAGGAGATCGACAATGAAGGTAACACTAAACAAATAGCTCAATGTAAATATTGTTTATCTAAATTACAAAGTGATACTATTCATGGCACCACACACTTAAGAAAACACTCCGAAAAGTGTCTTCAAAAGCTTAGCCAATCCAGCGTATCTGAACTCCGCCAAACACAATTATCTTTTGATTGCGTAACCGGTGGTTAAACACTTAGAAATACGATCCGCAAGTAGATCGTATGGAAGTTGCACAAATGATAGCTGCTTTAGATCAACCATTTAGTTTTGTAGAGCATCCTAATTGGCAAAGATATATTAAGGTTGTACATAATCTTAATGCACAGTTCACTTCAAAAACTACTTTTAGGAAAGATTTATTAAAATTATTTTAAAAAAAGAAGCATTAATAAACCTTTTACACTCGACTGGCGAGTGCGTTACGTTAACGGCAGATATTTGGTCTGCCGTTGCCAATAAAGATTATTTAGCTGTAACCGGACATTACTTTAAAGGATTTGATTTAAATAAGAGAATATTAGATTTTAAATGTGTTATAGGATCACATAGTGCGGATTTAATATATAATACCATTTTAAATGTAATTGATGAATTTCGATTAAGAGATAAAATAATGGCTATAACATTAGATAATGCTAGTGCCAATACAAAAGCAATTGAGTTATTTGAAAATGATTTAAGTTTATTCGGTGACGGTACAATTTTCCACCAACGTTGTGCATGTCACGTAATTAATTTAATTGTTAAATCTGGTTTAAAAGAAATGGGTAATCACATTAAAAGAATTAGAGATAGTCTTGCATGGATTCAAGGTAGTAACCAAAGACAAGAAGATTGGTTTAGGTTCTTACAAGCATTAAATATACATCCTAGAGCATTAGCGTTAGATATGCCTATAAGATGGAACTCAACTTACATAATGCTTTAACAATGCATCCCTTATAAGAATGCTATAACAAACTATATGTGTGCAAAATTAGGAGTATGACATATAGATGAATTTGATTGGTAAATTGCCAAAGTTTTGTATCAATTTTTAGGTAGGTTTCATGAAGTGACTCTAAAACTTAGTAGAACATATTATCCAACATCACCTTTAGCTTTAGTGATCCTAGATTAAAGTTAGAAGGTTTAGAAAGTAGTTTAGAAAACTTTGGTGAATTTTTAGGCATCAATTGTTCAGACCAATATCCAATAATAAAGGAAAAAATATTTTCGATCTATAGTAAATATGAGATTAGGTTTAGAGTACCTTCTAGAGTATAGGAACCGCAACAACAAGACGAAAACCCACATTCATTCTTGAATGTTTTGAGGTTGAAGAAGAAGAAGAAGACAACTCAAACAGAAGCTGGGAGTGAATCTTCGTCAACAAGTGGCAGTGGTAGCGGCGGCGGCAACTTCAACGAGCTTATGGCGTACCTCAGTGAAGGCTTAGTAGTCGACGGTATGGCAGAATCGTTTGACTTAGTTCAATGGTGGAGGGCACGGGCATTAACTTGGCCAATCCTAACTCGATTGGCAATGGATATATTTTCGATCTCAGTCTCCACTATTTCATCCGAACAAGCCTTCAGTACGACAGGAAAAATACTTGAAGAATGCCGGAATGCATTGCAAAGGGATATTGTTGAAGCCTTGGTTTGCATTAAGGATTGGGATTGGGCCGATCAACACCTACAGGATACAATTTCGCCGGCAAGCCAAGAATAGATCGATGAATTTAATCGATTAACATTTAATTTTGAAGACGATCCTTCAGCTTCAAATTAAATTGTAAATTTGTAATTTGTAAATACGTATTTACTTTTGACATTGTATTTGTAATTGTATAACTTTGTAAGTTTGTAAAATTTGTAATTCGTCACAAAATGATTGCACTATTTTTTTCTTGCTAAGTTTTTATCCCAATTGGATTTTTCTTGGTAAAGTTTTTAACGAGGTAATCACGAATTACGAATTTAATTTACATCATTAATATACATGATTAATTTATTCAATTGTGTTAATAATGTCTGTTGAATGTTGATTTGTTTATATAATTTTAACACAAACTAACTTAATAATTATAAAAATATTAAAAAAAATTTGGGCTATTCGGGCGGGCTCGAGCGGCCCGGCCGGGTTCGGGCAGCCAAATATAAGCCCGCGGCCCGTTCAAGGGCATTTTCGGGATCGGGCAGGCGGCCTGAATTTTTCGGGCGGATCGGGCTCAGACTCGGGTAAAAACTAAGTATTTTCGGGTGGCCCGTCTAAAGTTCCAGCACTATATACAAATACGGCGGGATGTTCATATGTTGGCTACTTGGCTTATTTAAATCAAACGTCGAAATGTCATGAAAGTTGTCATACAAATTAAATTTCCTGTCTTTATATGCAATAAATTACTAATAAAAAAAAGTTAAGAAAGGTATTATCTTCTAATAAAAAAGCAAGATGTCGTGTTACCCAAATATTGTTGATCAAAAAATGTGGCGTGTTACACGAAATTAACGTGTAAGTACTAATCAACCCTTAATATATATAAAAACAATTAATAAAATTATCATCTCCACGTAGATCAATCGAGACTTAAGGGTTTCAACTTTCAAAAAACTAAAAACGATCTATTGAGATTGATCTCTCATTTGTATTCCATCACAATTTTAATTACGACTTCATCTCGAGAGGTATTTTTTTTTTTAATTTTAAGAAGTTGTGGGTGAGAAATTCGAGCTCTGTAGACTTTAATCATAAAATTTAAAGTGTGAATTTACAGTCAACCTAAGTCTGCAATTGCTTAATATTAAAAAAAATAAAGCCTAAAAAAACCTTAAAGGATTAAATTTATTTTTCTAGGCTGCCCTCAGTAAAGGAGAAACACTAGCCTCAATTTTTTTTGACACTTTATTTATCATTTTTTATATTTATTGTTTAAATATAGACTCAATTATCTTATTTTTTATTTAAATAATAATATAATATATTAGTGAAGTTTACGTGACAAATAGTAAAAATATAAAGTAATAAAAAGAGTGATAATAACATTTTTCTTCGGTAGAAATATTAAACATCGGAAAGTATTAATAGTTTGTTTAGTTTATGCATGATTTTTATTTTAAATTCAAATTTTGTGTAAAAACTTATTGGGGGAAATTTTTTTATTCAAATTTTGTATAAGAGAATTATAAGTTGAAGTCCTAAAACCAAACGGACCTAAGGCACGTGGGTTGACTTTGCCGTGACTGCAACTAATCAGGCGCATTCACGTGGCACAACTTAAGGAAATATATAAACGAGTGATTCAAAAGCATACGCCGAGAACGATGGGGTCGATACATCCACGTGGCACAACATGAGGACAAAAGTATGGACAAACGCATAGGGCATTGGCGTTGGAATCAAACAGTATCACAAAATAATTTATTTGATTCTTAGAAATATCGAAATGGATTTTTTATCACCCTTTGAATATTCTTTCAATGTCCACTCTTCTACTTCACGATATTGCCATGACTATCGAGTATTGATCATGCCCGGTATTACCAAAATAACCTCATGAATATGGAAGTTTTCTTTGTAAGAATCAGATACATAGAAGGGTATCGTTTCATTTTCTCTCACTGATATTTCTAATTTCAAATATTCCGTCGATAATATATGAGTCTAAACCGTACGATTTTCATCAAATTTCATTAAATGCTCAATCTGATAATGATTTATTAATAGGATAGTAGGTTTTTAACACAGAAATCAACCAGTTGAGAAACAAGGACAAAAAGGTCTTTATCTATGCTCTACTAAACTTCAACAAAGAAGCACTGTCCAAATCAATGAGCATTGGAAGTTTAGGCTGCACCTCTGTGTCGGCGAGCTTTCCAAACTCCAAAGTCAATGGGAATCCAACTTGTTCATGAACCCCATTTTCAAATTTGGCAGTGTTATCTTTTACCAAAACTTTAAAAAGTATAAAACATTCCAAACCATTGATGTTAATTATAAATTTCCTGTTCACTTGTAATCGTCTTGAAACCGCGGTGAAAGGGCGAGACTCGGCGGCTAGATAAGAGTAACAAGCTCCAAACTATGCGCAAAAGGCCAACTGTGTCAATTACTATTCTCCAATTCACAGTCAAAAAGTCAATCACAGTTAATAATTTGTGCATGCCGTTTCTTTTGTAGAATATCCCGACTCATTATAAGCAGAAAATTACACAATATTGCACAAAGTTCTTTGTTATTATTATTAGAAAATATCTCAAGTGATGATCTTTTTTTTCATCTTTTTGTGAGTTATGCGTATTTTTTACTTCTCTACTTATAGGAAAAAAAAAAGTTCACTACTATCCATGCCATATTATAAATACATGATCCTCAAAGCACTACTTTGATTACCATATTTCACATTACAAAGTCTGTTCTCTCAGACCCTAGCAAACATGGAAGTGGAAGGCACTTTGACCGCCACTTCCTTGGATCAATCCAAGTCCAACCCGCAGAAGTTCGCTCTCCCGGTCGACTCCGAGCACAAGGCGACGGAGTTCAGGCTCTTCTCCATAGCCAAGCCCCACATGCGAGCCTTCCACCTTTCATGGGTCTCCTTCTTCTCCTGCTTCGTGTCGAGCTTCGCCGCGCCGCCGCTCATCCCCATCATCCGCGACAACCTCAACCTCACCGCCACCGACATCGGCAATGCCGGCATCGCCTCCGTCTCCGGTGCGGTCTTCGCCCGTGTCGTCATGGGATCCGCCTGCGACCTCTTCGGCCCTCGCCTCGCCTCCACCGCCCTCATCCTCATCACCGCCCCGGCCGTCTACTTCACATCCATTGCCAACGACGCCATTTCCTTCCTCCTCGTCCGGTTCTTCACCGGCTTCTCTCTCGCAACCTTCGTCTCCACTCAATTCTGGATGAGCTCCATGTTCTCTCCCCCCATCGTCGGCGCCGCCAACGGTGTCGCCGCCGGATGGGGAAACCTCGGCGGCGGCGCGACGCAGCTTATCATGCCGCTGGTGTTCTCCCTCATACGTGACATCGGAGCCGCCAAATTCACCGCTTGGAGGGTGGCGTTTTTCGTTCCCGCTCTGTTCCAAATGCTCTCCGCCTTCGCCATCTTGATATTTGGCCAGGACACGCCGGACGGGAACTTCCGGGGGCTCGAGAAGTCCGGCGACAAGCCGAAGGACAAATTCTCCAGCGTCTTCCACCACGGCGTCACAAACTACCGAGGGTGGATTCTGGCGTTGACTTACGGATACTGCTTTGGGGTAGAGCTGGCCGTGGATAACATCATTGCCGAGTATTTCTACGACAGGTTTAACCTGAAGCTGCACACGGCGGGGATAATAGCGGCGACTTTCGGGCTGGCGAACGTGGTGTCGCGGCCGGCCGGGGGGATTCTGTCGGACGCCATGGCGAAGAGGTTTGGGATGAGAGGGAGGCTGTGGGGTCTGTGGGTGGTGCAGACTTTGGGAGGGGTTTTATGTGTGGTTCTTGGCCAAGTTGGATCTTTGAGTGCTTCAATTGCGGTTATGATTCTCTTCTCTTTCTTTGTTCAAGCTGCATGTGGGCTTACGTTTGGGGTCGTTCCTTTTGTCTCCAGGAGGTACTTTCACACTTTCTTCATTCATTTGCTCTTTAATTGTCTAAAAAACCTACTAATATTGCATAATTCTAATTATATTATAAATTTATAAATTTATGATTAATCAGTATGAGAATACAATGGAATTTGATGAAAATATAAGGAATTACTCTATATCAACCTGAAAATTCTCATGTGTTTGTAACATTTTAAGTACTTGGTAATTCTTACATTTCAAGGTTTTTTAGATTATTTTTAAATTTGTACCATTTGATTATCCTAAAAGTCAAGAATGGACGCGTTCAACCCGACAGGGTTAGATCCGGAGACTCTCATACAGGGTGGAGCCCACCCGGTGGGTCTCACCACCCCGAATGAGAGGCGGGTTGAATCCCAACCAAACCATTCAAGGAAACGGAACAGAACAATTGAATTGTTCAACACATATCGAGCCTCGTCATGCCCATACCATGGCTATGTTGTGGAGAAGCGTTGGCACGTTAGGGATCCTCGGTCCCTTAGTGGACGTTTGATTCACGGATTCAGAACCATAATTTAGAATTATTCTCACTTTACGTGTATTTTCTGTGAGAGAAAATACTGTAACGAATTACGAACTATAATTCGAATCACAATACGAATCTTCATACCAAACACCCTATAAAAATAAAGTCTCGTCTATAACAACATGAAAAATCTCTCATATTAAGTCCATCTGTTATGTCACTTTGTATTTTTTTTTTTTTTTTTTGCTCTTTTCTTTTTCCCATTTTCTTATATTGCCTATTTTTCAGGTCACTAGGGGTGATATCCGGTATGACCGGAGGAGGAGGAAATGTTGGTGCAGTTTTGACACAACTAATATTCTTCAAAGGATCGAGATACTCAAAAGAAACAGGGATAACTCTAATGGGTATTATGATCATATGTTGCACCCTCCCAATAACTCTAATCTACTTTCCGCAATGGGGCGGGATGTTCTGCGGTCCGGCGAAAAAGAAAGTGACGGAGGAGGACTACTACTTGTCTGAATGGAGTTCAAAGGAGAAGGAGAAAGGCTTTCACCTGGCGAGCATCAAGTTTGCTGAGAACAGCAGAAGCGAAAGAGGTGGAAAAGTGGACTCAGTAACTAGGCCTGATGAAACCTCACAACCAAATGTTTAATATTAAAATTATGGCTGGCTTTACAGAAGATTTTCTTTATGCAAATTATATATTCAGGACCATAAGTTATAGTAGCAACTAGTATCCTCTTTTAACACTTTTGTAATTATTAATTGTTGTTATACGCAGCCTAGAAGGCTTTGAAAAACACTTTTAGACACTTTCGTAGCAATTATTAAGTGTATATTTTTTCTCTCAAACTCACATTTCATCCATGATTTCATGTTCCAACATAATATAAAAAAGTATAAATTTAATAGCTTAGAAAAATGAAGCGATTAAAAGGCTCCGTCACTTTTTTACTAGCCAAAAAGCAGCAACTGTAGAGAATTACTGTACTAGAGTTGTGCATGTGAAATGCCCATAAGAAAATTGACCTCCACTACAAGGATGGCTCTACAGGAATACAGATGAACCGACAAAACTTCTGCTTTTCTTTCGACGCTTTTCAGCCTTACAAAGCTCGGTTTTCTTTTGGAAAGATATATACCCACAGAATTCATATCCCAGTGTTTCAAAACAAAGTAGCTATTTGTTTTGTAACATGTGCAGGAAAAATAAATCCACTTAATTTGACTACATACCATTTTTAAGAGGCGGTTGTTGGTTTTTTCCTTTTTATTTGTATCAAAATTCCCAACCCTTCAGTTAATCACTGATTAACCCTAATTAATCAATTACTCACTAACACAGAAAACGACATGTCGTATTTACCGCTTTGGGAGGGAGAACATTTGGTCAAATATGTTGTCTAATACTAACTATACTTTTTGGCTTATGGTAGTTCTGTTTCTTCATCTAACACCTGGACAGCTGTGACAAATTCAGGACTTCCAATACCATATCAGATTGTCAATTATCCCAAAGAAAAAAAAAAAGAAAAAAAAAGCGCTCAAGTTTCTTTACTAAAAAGCTACTTTGGTATTACTTTAAAAACTTGAACATGTTACAAATACGACTCTTGCAAACAAATATTCTAATGGTATGATGATTGGATAAAGCCTGCGGAGCATTAAGAGACAGAATGTAGGGAATAAGAAATGTTACAAAACTGGACACTCCCCAACTACCATTACCTTTATCACAAGGATATATTATGCACATCCACCACAAAAAAAAAATTATATTATGCACATCCACCTAGAGGTGTCAATTGGGCCGGGCCGTCCATGGACGGCCCGGCCCAGCCCGCTACAGTAGCAAATTTGGCACGGCCCGGCCCCCCAGGCCCTCCTAAGGCCCAGGCACAGCCCAGGCACGCGAAGGGCTAGGCACGCGAAGGGCCAGGCCCGCGACATGAAATTTTAATGAGGTTTGAGGCATTTTAGGGCCAATTGGCCGACCTATGCCGTCTGGTCAACCAATCATTTTCTTATAATTATTCATATTAATTCAATAAAATCACATATTTTTGGGGCATATGATATATTACTTTTTTTTGTCATCAAATTTGAAATTAAAAAAAAAATCCTAAAAATATTGCTAATCATAAGTGAAACTCAAGTGCATTAAGAAAATTAGGTTAAGATTGAGTTTAGACATAACAGAATCTTCTAGAAGCACTTAGGTTTTGTAATTTACTAATCCTAAAATACTGCACTCTTTTTTCCTTCGCTAAGGTTTTGTCCCGATCTCCCCACGAGATTTACTTGACAAGGTTTTTAACGAGTTGATCATTTATGTGTACTTATTTGTGTTATCTCAATTCAATAAAATCACATCTTTTGGAGACATATGATATATTTTCTTTTTTTTAAATTAAATATTGAAAAAAAAAATTAAAAGGGTCAAGCCCGGCCCGTGAAGGGCCTGGGCCCAGGCCCGGCCTGGCCCTTATGGACTAGGGCCTAGGGCCAAGGGCCAGTGCTGGGCCTGAGGGTTTCTCCTCAGGCCCGGCCCTAGCACGGCCCTACACTGTGCAGGGCCGTGTCAGGCACGACCCAGGCCCGCCATGGGTCTGGGGTTAGAAGGGCCGTGCCGGCCCGGCACGGCCCTTTTGACATCTCTACAAATCCACCACACAAAAAAAAAAAGTCAGGTAAAAAAAAAAAAAAAGAAGAAGAAGAAAATCTAACTAATTTTCACTGTACTGCAATATTAAGTTGCAGGTCCAGTTTCAAATCTTTTCAAGCCTCATCTCAAAGTCAGTGCCATGTTGCAATCTTTAACTGTAATGAATAAAGCTTTTGTTTCGTCTATTTTGAACTTTTCAGAAACTTTTTGCTCTCCACAATCTTTTTTTTTTAAGAAATGAATTATTATCAATAGAAGACAAAGTGCTTCCCACACCCCTTCCTTGGGGTCTCCACTAAACCTGGTTTCAGCTTTTTACCTCATAGTTCTTACAAACACAGAGATATATATTGAGAATTTTTCATTATTATCACTACTATTCAAAAATGCTGACTAGTTTACATGAGTAAAATAATGCTCACACCATCACCTTCACATAGTGAACAAAAAAAAAAAATTTTTGATGAAGGGAAGCTCCTAAGAAGGGTGCAGATTTTTTTAAAAATAAAATAAAATAAAATTTAAAAATGACCACTAGAATCAGGATCTAGTTAGACCATTATTTTCCCTATATCATCTTAGGGAAACACACATGCTCATGTGACCTTGCAATTCCCCTAATTGGACCCCCAACAGCTCTCAAGCAATAGTCAATGTTTGAAGGAACCAAAGGAGCCTCTGATTTCCCGTAAGAGTTCAAACACAAGGCCTGTTTGAATCCTCGGCACCGCGGCGAGGGATTCAGCTGAATGTTGTTTAGATCAACATCTGTGCATGGGATGTCCTTGCTACAAGCCAGATGAAGAGGCTGCGCCGAATAAGTACCGATTATTCGATCGTATTTGACGTCGGATATCGCTACTGCCCCGGTTTGGTTCTTGCAAAAGATGCTATTGTCACAGTAGTACTGGTCTATCACGATAGGAACCTTCACATCAGAGACTTGGATATTGGAGAATGACACATTTTTCACAGATCCAATCCCTCCCTATCAAATGAAATTTAACAGATTTAGAATTTGGATATATATTGTCTAAAATAAATAAGAAAATTAGTCAGGTAGATGTAGCCTAGTGACAACGTTCCACTTTAAAATATAAAAATACTTAGGAACACCATCATTATTAAACACCACAACTAATAAAATGTGGATCAATATGTGAATATTATATTGTGGGTCCTATTGTTTATTAGCGAGTAGTGCTACACACCATCGGTGCCTCATGGCATTGCTTTTAAAATGAGCTTTAAACTTGGACATCTTAAATTTGAGTCTCATGAGAAGAACTCCCGAACTTTTCGACTAATGAGAATTATATGTTGTTTTAATGTTCTTTTGAGTAAAAGAAATAGTAAAACCATTAGTTAGTGCTATGTACCTGCCAAGTTTTGATCCTTACTCCAGATAGAGTGTTCTGGATTGAGACGTTATCAACGATGATATTGGAGACACAAGCAACAGTTTTGTCTTTCCCTAGTCCACCTAGGCTGTAGAAATGGGATTAAAAGTTAGCAAAAAAGTACACTTAACATAATCATATTTCTGTACATATCTTTTATATGTGGGTGTGACAGATATACCTTATGCCATGTCCAGGGCCACAATTAATATGATGGATATGAACGTTTGAGCAACCAGTTTGTATGGATACACAGTCATCTCCTGTTAAAAGAGAAATGCCCATTATAAGAATATAACAAAATGAATATATTGTTTGCTCATGCCCTCTATATTATGTAGCTTGCTGACGTCAGACCCCACAAAAAAAGTTAGTTCTATGTTGTACTCTTTGTTCCTTCTTGTTTCAAAAGTTAGTTTACTGACAGTTTACCGTTTAAAGAACTTTACAGATAGCAACTATAATTTGCTTCCAAGCCCAAAGTGCGCAATGCACCATCTGGGTCATGACAGTTGTCGGTTTCCAATATAGAATATAGTTTTATAAGGGAGTATAATATTTTTGTCAGTAGCTACTAGAATGTTCTTTTATATTCTATATATTTATGATGTATCTTACCACATCCAACATTTGAATGCTGAATCTCAACGTCTTGTGTGTTTTGCAAGTGAATGCCGTCTGTATTGGGGCTATTCTCTGGCGAAGATATTGTGATATTGTCAACTTTGATACCCTTAGAGCTGTCAAATTTTAGATGGCACTGAGGACTGTTTATGATTCTGATGTTGCGAACTGTGACATCATAGCTTGAGTAGAATCTCAAAGCCTGCATGTGTTGAACAAAGTAAAAAAACACTTTGTAATTATAAGTTGTTCCTATAACTAACTTGACAGTAGAATTCTGTGATAGGGTATAAAAGAAAACGCTATCGCTAAGACATGGTTCTAGACGGACAGATCATGTTAAGATCATATTAAATTAAGAAAAATATGATAGTTTAACAAATTTATGAAAGAAAACCCTATCAGTAAGATATGATTTTAGATGGACAAATCATGTTAGGATCATATTAAATTAAGAAAATTATGATAGTTTAACAGATTTATGAAGATCTGATAGTGTCAGAACTGTGCCTAATAGTTTTCTTAAGCCAAGAGAATAGAGAGGAATTTCTTACTGTGGGTTTCATTCCCGGAATGTGCTTGGATTTTTTCTGCAGAAACATAGAAAAGTAGTTTTTTTTAATTAAGTAGTTCGTGCACTAGTGACTCTCAGAATTGTTTGGAAAAAAAAAAAAAAATGGCAGTGATGGAACTAACCTGGATTTGATAAGTTTTGGAGTTACTCCACCAGTTAGTTCCCTGACCATCAACAATGCCACTACCTTGGATGGTGAAGTTATGGAGCCACTTAAAGTTTATCCATTGAAATAAACTGTATTTCTGCCATGATCCTACTTTTGGAGGAGCCAATATACTACCATCTATCTGTTAATTAAAGTTCCACTTGATAAGTTTTTTGCACTTTAAACAATTTTTAGTACAACAAAAAAAGAACATATAGTTCCCTATAATAACATGACTAAGAAAGTACCAAATAAATTCAGTTAAAGATGCAAAAGGCACACCTGAAGAACAAGTTGAGGCATACAAGGGCCTTGAAGAGTTATCGGCTTGATGAGGAACTTGAATTCTGATGGAATCTCTACTGTGGCCCCAGCAACCTTGCATGCTGCTTCCCATGCTGCTAGAAGTGCCTGATATTTGTTTAACATTCTCAAATGAATAAGAGCATCTTTTTTTTTTTTTTTTTCCAATTTTATGAACTCAAATGCAAAACTTACACAGGTTAATAATTATCATATTTTGTCATTGTATTACCTTGGAATCATCAGAAACTCCATCGCCTTTGGCTCCAAAAGACATGACGTCGAAAATGCTAGATCGAGAGGGGTAAGGCCCATAAGAAGGAATAGGAGCCGGCGCAGGACCTGGAGAATTACTCGAGTCGGAAGCATTTCCATTACCACCCTTATCTTTTTTATGCTTGTGTGGTTTGTGCTTCTTGGTTTGGTGCTTTCTTCCCTCCACTGAAATGGTAGAAAATGTGACAAAGATAATAACCAATATAAGCAAAAGAATATTATTGACAAGGGTTGAACTCTTGTTTTTCTTCATCTCTCAATACAACCCTTTTAACTCTTCTTAGACAGAGGGATTTTCTAAGTTAAAAGAGTTTCAGGTAGCTCTCTGATTGAGGCTCAAGGGGTTTTTAAGGTAGTTATAGACAGTTTAGAGAGTGTCTAATTACCGAAATAACCTCTGGTTGGGTTCTGAATTTCATACACACCCTTCACTCTCACTGCTTCATTTTTTATTTTTATTTTTTGAAAGCTCATTATTTTAAGTGAATATGTAGAGGGATTGTGCTTATACACTACAGATACCACTTTTTTATTGGCTGCTTGAATATGTATAATAAATGCACACATACAAACCATTAGAAGTTGGCATGAGGATTAAAATAGTCACTCCTTTTGAGTGAGTACTGGATAATGTACAGAATACCATGGTTGTTCTAGTATTGTGATAAGGTGTACTATATCACCACTGTGTATTATTATTATTTTTTTTTTTTTTGAGGTTTGGATTAGGCTATTTTATCCTTAATAAACCACTATTAGGAGTTTATATATTATTGAAAAAGATTCCCTTGGATGCATCAAACTTGTTAAATTACCCTGTGTATCTTGAAAAAAAAGAAAAAAAAAAGCTGCAGAATGAGGAGGATAATATAGTAGCCAATCATGGTGATCTTTAACACAAAGCTTGATTAATGATTGGGTTAGATGATAGCTAGGCTAGCCAAATGAGACAGGTCACATTAGTTTATGTATGTGATACCTCTTTTAATGCTTAATCTTTTATTATAACCAAGTAATTGCCTGAATTTTAAGCCTATGATCTGGATTCCTCCTACCAACACTATCAAATTAAAATATTAGAAAGTTTTGGTAGAACTAAAATACTACAATTGTTCAATTCTTAATGCTTTTATGAACATTATCAAGTATTTAGTTTGGCAATTTTTAGACGGTCATGATTCAATCCGATAGCAATTCAGACTTCTGTGATCAAGGTCAGTAAATTTCTAAACCTTTTTGTCTCAACCCTAGGAGAAAAAGAAAAAGAAAAAAGAAAAAAGAACTTTATGTTGTAATATAAAATTCCGCCAAAAATGAAAAAAGAGTCCACATCAAAAAATTCTTGTGTCTCTCACTTTCATGCCAAAGTTCAAAAACAGAATAAGGTAAAGAAGGATAGGTGGTCCTGGGTTTTGAGTTCCGGACAAATTAGCCACTTGCTCAAAAAGTACCCTTCTAACAGGCGTTTGTTTCGTGTTTATATACTTCAAAAGCCTATATACATATATATATATATATGTCTATATACACACACTTCAAAAGTGGACTATTTCTTTGAAACCAAACCTCGTAGGAGGACGGCAAAAGCAGACTAAGTTTAGTCTACGCATAAAGAATATTACACTTCTTTTGACATTAATAAAAGTTAATTTTAAAAAAAGAAAAATAAAGGGTAGCTGGCAGTTTATATAGTTATATTGTTTGGAGAATAGAGACACCCCATTAGTGATTCTTTTTATTTGGTGTAGCTTTTTGATTAAAAAAAAAAAAAAAAAAAAAAAAAAAAAAAAAAAAAAGAAGAAGGGGGAGAAGGTGGTTCTCACGTTCTGCATAATATTAAGGGAATGGAAAAGCGAAAAAGATGAAAGCATAGAAGAAAGAAAGTCAAGGTCATTTGTTGTTGTGAGGTCTATATGTGGGAAACAACAAGTGCTTGACTTACTCTGTCTCTGTCTTCTTCTATGGCACGCCTTGGTCCAATGTGGGACAGGTCGGTGCCATGAGTCACTAAACCAGGTTGGTCATATCTCTCTCTCTCTCTCTGAGAAAACTCTTTTGTTATTAACACTTTTACTTCAATTTTGATTGATTGAACTGGTGAGTTGCCCTTTGATTTGAATAGAATTCTGAAAAATTATTACTAAAAATTATTAAAATGTTAAGAGTACTTTCAAATTGATGAATAATGTTAGGATTCAGAAGGAAAAGCCTTAATGCAGGTGATATAATGGGCTTCAATCACGTAAAATTTCAATCTCTTTCTTTTAAACAAGCTCAAATGACATGTGTGAAAGCATGTTTCATCCAAATTCTAATGGTGAAGCCATAATTTTCTTATTAGGTTATTCTATTACTTTGTTTTGAATACTATTGTATTCTAACTTGATTTTGATTGTATTTGGTGTTGAAAATTTCTTATCTTCAACGACCACAAATTTTTCTTTTATTGATTTTAGCCGATGAAACTACGAGGAACAGGTTGTGCGTGTTTATACTGAATGGGCTATTTTTCTTCAACTCATGATTTATCTAACACCTGTTTTTTGATAAGGACTCTAATCAACTTCGAGTTGTTTTTTTAAGTCAACCAAAACTCATAATATGCTGTACAATTCTTTATGCCATCATTCTAAACCATGAATTTGAGTCAAAAGGAAAAAAGGTATTATCTTGATAATCCCAAAATTATATCCTGTAGTTGTCATTTTGTATCTTTTTTTTTTTCTTAGATTGTATTCTTTTTTTTTTTTTTTTTTTTTCTTAGATTGTATTCTTTTTTTTTTTTTTTAATCTATATCGTTTTCCGAGATTAAGTCGTTTGTGAGTGGATGTCGTTTATCACATTGTTGTTGTTTTCTAGCTGTGTCGTTTTTAGATTAATTTGCTTTCTTATTGCTGTCGTTTTTCCAAAATTCTGATTTTGTGGATTAACGTTGTTCACAAAGTATATTTTCTTCCTTACCAAGGAGATTATCGTTTTCTTAATTAATCTCGTTTTCATAATCCGTGTCGTACTTTAAATTGTCCTCATTTTTGATAGTTTGTGTCGTTTTAGACGTTACATCATTGTTTAGTTTATTGTCCCTTTACACGGTTGTTGTCGTTGTTTAAAAGAACGTCTTTTTTAGAATGTCGTCGTGTTACTTTTCTTGGCGTATTAAGAGCACTTTGTCGCTTTCAAGATTGCTTTTTTTATTTACCCCGAGTATGTTCTACTGTTAAAAAAAACTCATTCTTTTGTCTAAAAAAACTCAAAAAAAGACAACTCAAGTTCTAACTTTATTCAAGTTCACGTTCTTTTAAGTTTTAATTTTATTCAACTTCACTCAACTTTATTCAAATTATAACTTCAACTCAAGTTATAACTTAAATTCAACTCAAAAATTACACTCAAGTTATACTCTAAAAGAACAACCCCTCCCTTTCTCAGTCAAAATTCAAAAATTGAAAAAAAAGAGTTTTTATGAGCCTATCCGCAGCGTTGCCACGATTGAATGAGAGACAAATAATTATTATTTTTATATTTAAATTGAGATTTGATTTTAATTATTTTTAATTTGAGTTGAGATTTAATTTTATATGAGAATTTTTTACTGTAATAAAAAAATTAAATGTGATTATTTTTAAAAAAAATTTACTATAATAAAATTTAAATTTTAAATTCAAATGAAGTCAACGCTGTAAATAGTTGTGATGGTGATGGCGTGTCCAAATGGGTTGTCAAAAGTCTTTCATCTACCCATTAATTACTTCAATTCTTCTAATATCCTCCGAGATAAGCTAAAACATAATAATAAATTCGAAATAATTTGCCATGTCCATCAGTTCATGCAACAAAAAGCAAAAACACTTTTGAATAAAACAGATGCCCAATTGATAAGGTTAAGGGGTCTTTTACTTTCCTAGTGGGCATGAGATAGCCGAAGACTTTGAATAATCTCTCTCCCACGGTCAACTTTGCACAAAAAATCTAGTGCAAACTAGGAGTGCTAAAAAAACCAAAAAATCGCCACTGACTGACACTAAACCGCCAAATTGATTAAAAAAATTGAAAATTCAATTTCACTTCAGTGAACTGACTAATTCAGTCGGTAAATTGGCTGCTATAATTTATAGATAGTTCGGTTTTAATTTTATCAATTTAAGTAATCGGTTAAATCGAACTAATCGACATTTTATTATATTTAAAAAAAATTATTATTTATAAATTTAAACTTATAATCTTATAAATAATGAATATAAATTCATTATATTATTAAAAATAGACATTTAAAACAAGTTAGATCTAACTGCAAACTCATATCATGGTTTTCGTGGTAAGAGGTTTGGAGTCCGTTTAGTTGGAGGATTCGTTCTTTAATTTGAATCATGATTCATAGTTCGTTACAGTATTTTCTCTCATAAAAAATACACGTAAATTAAAAATGATTCTAATCTTATAGTTCTAATCTATGAACAAAACGGGCTCTTGATATCTACCATGTACGCAACATTGGAGTTTGGACCCTCTCAAATCTCGATGCTTCTACTTCCGATGGGTCCCACATTACTTGGCCGTCAACTACCGTACCTCTCAGCCGCGCAAGCTTCGTTTCTACTAACTTTTCAACGAAAGTTGGTGCCTCTTGTCACAAGTACCACATCATTCATTTTTCACGATAACATTCTCAAACGTAAATGAAAAATGATTCTAATATCATGATTTTAATCTATGAACAAAACGTCTTTATTTGAAAATGAGGCTGAATAAGCTCTAACAACCATAGATATTTGAGCAATTCCTTTTGGTTTTGGATAATGTGTGGTTAATGATCATGGTATAATATACAGATTGTTACGTGATTTATAATGCAAGTGGTCCTTAGCCAGTTATCTGTCTCATTGTTTGTTTTGATCCATTGAATTTGACTAGGACCCTTAATTGTGTTACTAATTGATGACCTGTCTAATATAACAAACTAAATAATTAGCCAGTCAGCGCGGGCAGCCTCTTGCCTGCCCAAGTGGCACACAGTAAGAAAAAAAAATAATTATTATTAGTATTATTATAATTATAATAATAATATTTAGCATTGATAAAGACAATTAGTAATAAGTTATGCTGACTAGATGGAACATTAATGAAGAGATCTTTAGAGGGACTAGATAAATGCAAGTTGGATAGTAGTTTGTGCAAGAACATTTTTCATGCTTTTAATGCAATGCTAAACATATAGTCGTTTTCCTTGTCGATGCAATTACACTTTTTACAGTGAGGCCTAGCAAATATATTATGCCAAACAATTGCATTGTGGGTACTAATATTAATAAAATATTGTTTGTGAGGAAAATGCTTATGACTTCTTTTCTCTCTCACCCCATCAAATATACTAATAATAAAGATACATATGTATGATCCTAAACACTCTAAATCGAAAACTTTTAGGAGCGAATTTTCATCCGCTAAGCACTCAACCTTTAATCGTAGACCCAGACTACAATTAGAAGCGGTAAATTGTGGATTATTTATCATCCAACTACAGTCACATGTTAGGTCTCTTTCGAATTTAGAATTTAAGTTTTATTACAGTAAAAAACTCTAAAAAATAATCACATCTAACTTTTTTTATTATAGTAAAAAACTCTCATATATCAACTTAGTGCTGAAACTTTAGACGGGCCGCCCGTGACCACCGAAAAGTCTGAATTTTTGCCTGATGACCGAACCCGATCTGTTTGAAAATTCGGGCTGCCCGACCCGACCCAAAAATTCCCATGGACGGGCTTCGGGCAAAGGAAGCCTGCCCGTGCCCGGTCGGGCTGCCCGATGCCCGACCAGCTGCCCGAAATTTTTTTTTTTTATATTATATTTTTATGTTGTTGAAATAAGTATTTGTATAATTACAATGTGTAATTGTGTATATTACAATTTGAAATATGAAATGAACACACGACACGAACGAACTATATAAAAAAAATTACTTCTTCATTGATTTTTAAATTTGTAATTCATGATTGCCTCATTAAAAACCTTACCAAGAAAAACCCAATTGGGATAAAAACTTGGTAAGGAAAAAATAGTGCAATCATTGTGGGACGAATTACAAATTTGATGAACTTACAAAGTCTATACAAGATTACAAATTACAATAAACACTATACAAATTAGAAATTACAAAGTAAATAAATATTTACAAAGAAATTATCAAGATGAAGCAGAAGGATCATCTTGAAAATTAAAAGTTAATCTATTAAATTCGTCGATCCATTCTTGGTTTACCGGTGAGATTGTATCGTGTAAGCGTTGGTCGGAACGGTCCCAATCCTTGATGCACACCAAAGCTTCAACAATATCCTGCTGCAATGCGTTTCTCCGTTCTTCAAGTATTCGGCCGGTT